ATCGCACCTGATTACTTCTCTTATTTCTCCTTCGTTACTTTTACCTTTTACTTTTACTTTTTGATATTTACGTTCGATATATATTTCGATATATATTTCGATATACATTTATAGAATTTTCGAATTGAAACTTTCGACGGTCTCAGCGTGGTAGAAGGCTACTGCCAGGCGTTTCCGCACCGTCCTGAATTTTGCAAACGTAGCTTATAATTGCCGATTAATCCGACAACAGCGAGCAATTATCGCGGAAGCGAGCGTGTATTAATCATAAAATAATTACCGCCGAACGAGGTTCGCGAATACAACGAATCTGTGCTTGTAAAAACTTCGCGTTATATTTGTATCGATCAACGTGACCTCCTTAAAAGTAATTCCCTTGGGAAGCAACGCACCGATGGAGACGTTTCTTTCGCTCCTCGAAGCAGCGCTGAAAGTCTTCATCTCTCGGGCTGTTCACTTGGCTGGTCACAGTACCCGGTATAATTTCAACTACGCGAGAACGGCGACCTTTCGAGCAGACTTTTAATTTTTTCGAAATCGCGAAACGTCGGCAGCGATCGCGCCGTGTTTCCCAACGAATCGAACCGATACGGTTGCTTTTAGAAAACCACTTGGCGCTGTTTCAAATGATATTCACGGTTGTGGAATAAAGATACGTATGTAACTTGTTATTAAGGACGCTCGCATGATTCGCGTTACTCGTCCCAAAGAACTCTCGGATACGGCTAACGCGCGAAGTGAACGTTGAACATCGTTCATCTTGAGTCGTAGATATTCGCGAGCTGTTAAATAAAGGTAAACACGTTCGAGCCTCGAAACGCTTTCACGGCAAGGGATCTGTCGGAACGCCGCGACGCGACGCGCCGTCCGTAAAGCGGCGCAAAGCGTAGAGCTTCGTGCTTTTTGCACGACGGATTTGCGAAATTGATTTCGCCATCGAGCTCGTGCTTTACGACCTCGAACGACTACACCGAAGAAAAGCGATCTGTTTCGCGCGTGCTTTTTTCGTGCGTGCTTTTTCGTGCGTGCTTTTTCCTCCGTGCACAGTCGCGCGGACGTTAGACGTTTCGGAATGGTACACTGGAATACACGCAGCATCGCGATCGCACACGAGGAAACGGACTTGGTTTCCCCAGACGTGCTTTCTTTTCTAGACGCTTATCGAGTCGGCCCATCCCCGTCTTCTATTAGAATACAACCCCTGCAATTCCCCAACCCTCTCCGTTCCGCGGTAGCTTCTTCGCTTCGGAGCCTGCTTCGCTGCAACTTCCTAATCTTCTTTTCGTTTCTATTCTTCCCTTTTCATATCTCGCCAAAGATTTTAACGTCGTCGCTCGTCCCGTGATTCCGAATTCGCGCTGTCGCCGAGCACGGAGCCAGATAAATCTATTCCAGCCTCTTTCTTCGGTCGTCTGCACGCGGTCGGAGGAAAGGAGGTCTCGCGAATGCTCAGGGAATCAACCTCCTCTTTCGCGACGATTCTCGATGGATTGTCGCGCCACCCGCGTCTTTTTGCTCGAGAAGCTGTAAATAGAGGGATTCGTGCTCGAGATGTTTTTGCGAAGCCGCACGACCACCGCCGACGGTACGTGCATTTTTACCACGGTACCACTGAGCTTGCCCTTCGCTGCACCTCTTTGGCGCCGGTTCTTTCCTTCGACGCCTGCAATTTTGATCCCTGTAAAAGAACTTCAAGAAGGCAAAAAATCACGAGAAAAAATAAATAGAAGATCTATAGTGTGTTGTTGGCAGGAAAATATCGTACGACAATATAATTCTGATATCGATATTGATGACAGAAGTCCATGGTTAGGTTGGGGTAACCATTTCACGAGTGAAACACGCGGTAGCTCGAGCGCTAGGTATATTATTGGCGTATCATTTTTTGTCTTTTTTCACGGATCGAGAATGGACCAGGTGAAGCCAGCTAAAAGACCGCGTTTCCATGTCTGATTTGAAACGCCACGTTTGTTACATTTCTTTTTCTTTTCTTTTCTGTTTTCTTTTTTTTTTGGTACAATTAGAGATTCACCGTGCATGGTCGAAGAGTTGTTAATCCGGCAACTAAACGAATAGCAAATAGTTATTGGACCGTGTGACATTGTTCGTGCAATTAAGTCTCATTGTCGCGATTGGTCACACTTGGTCACAATATGGGACTGAATGACACGCGTTAACGCACTGACGGCTTAATTGGTTTCGCCCTCCTCTGATCCACCAATCTCCCTCCTCCCGGCCGTCAGGTTGGCATTGTCGCAACGCAGCATAGGAGGCAACAAATCAATTGCGAAATTCGCGGTGATCGCACGAGAATAATGGCGTTCGTTCTTCGAGTCCCGCTCCTGCAACGCGCGATTTAACCGGAAACCGACGAGTTAACGCGTTCGCTGTCGAGTCGGGTTCGATCACCGAACCCGGGCCAACGATTCGGAAAAGAACAGTGAGGAGCGTTGAGGTGAATCCGTGGCAGTTGATCAAAGAATCTCGGAGGCGGTTCGTTATTCGAATCACTGCCGTGGGGGCAGACGCGTCTTGCATAGTTAAAACTAATCCTACGTAAGTGTACCCATCCAGAACGTCATGATAGTGTTTCATCTGTTATTTGCCCCTAGGGTGAAGCCGTTCTCCCGTCGCGAACATAAGCGACGAGTGTCTTCCATGTCGCGGCAGCCACCCTCGTTATCTCTGCAGCCTGAGATTCATTTGAACAGGGGTCTTCAACCCCAGACCTAACCCAAATCAACGATACTGCGACAAATAAGTTTCTACACGGTGATTATTATAAGGAATATGTTGAATGGCAACGTGATTTCTTAGTATTTTTAGTTTAAGACGAGATTGCATTCTCATTCTTTGTCAAACATTCGAAATCAAACCTAATCCAAATTAACGATACAGCGACAAACAATTTTCTACACGATGATTATTATACGGAATATGTTGTATAGCAACATAATTCCTTAGTATTTTTAGTTTAGGTCGATGCTGTCTTCTCATTCTTTGTCAAACATTCGAAATCAAACCTAACCCAATTCAACGATACTGCGACAAATAAGTTTCTACACGGTGATTATTATAAG